GGGGCACCCAGGACTGGAGGGGGCTGGTCCGGGCAGAGCGAGCAGCCGGAGCCCTGGCCTGGGGGATGAGGGACTGCAAATTGTTTAGCTACGGCTTTGCAAAATCCACCTGCAAATCTCAGCCTGGATCAGAGGCTTATTGCAGATCAGAATTAAACCCTTTCGGCGTCGGGAAGGATTGGGGAGCTGGGATGCCTCATTTTGCTTGTTGTCTGTTAATTATCAGGGTAGGTTTGCCTAAGTGGCTCAGATCTGTGGCTTTTTTTTTGGGATGCCTCATTTTGCTTGTTGTCTGTTAATTATCAGGGTAGGTTTGCCTAAGTGGCTCAGATCTGTGGCTTGCTGTCACCTTTCTGGCCAGCCTTGGTGGCTGGTGGGTGACTGTGTGCTACCGTCCATGTGTCCGCTTTGGGCTGCGTCGCCCGTGCTGCGCTTGGAGGGGCAGTGAAACGCCAGCAGGTTGAACTCCCCATGCCTGCAGGGTGAGCTCCAGCTTTCGGTTCGCTCCTCCTGGCCCTGCTTGTCCTCCGCGGGGTTTGTTGTTGTAAGACTCCTGGCCCAAATGAGGAGCAAATGGAGAGGGTAATGAGGGCTGCGCTGGCCCCGTGCCCCCTCCTGCTTGCCGGCTGCCGCAGATGGAGAGGGGCAGGGAGGGCCCCTGGTGACAAATTGTGCTTGGAGCTGAGCAGGGTCCAGCCAGCGTTTGGACGGGGGTGTTTGGATGCTGATAGCAGAACTGCAGCAGGGACCATTTGCTATTTTTCTTCCCTTGTCCCAAATTGAAACCCTCCCAGGAGTGCGAGGTGACCTGTCTGCCAGCAGCACCTCACCTCAAGCACTCGGGCAGGAGCAGCAGGCAGGGATGGGACGCATGGCAGTGCTGGGGACGGGGAGGGCAAGCCTTGCACCCTCGTATCCAGAAGCTTTTCTGTACCTCCCAGTATGGTCCACATCTCAAAAAGCCAAAGGAGAGAGCAGGGAGCACGGACAAGCGCATGCTCTCCCCACTGTGTTGGCAGTGCGGAAACGGGGCCTGGCAGCTCCCCGGGGCGATCCGAGCAGGGGCCATGGATGCCTGAGCAGGACCAATGCCCTGCCTGTGCCTGGGGTCCACGCCTGCTGTCCGTCTTCCCTCCCTGTCCTCTCTTGAGCATCTCATCGCCTGCCTCCTGGTTGCTCTGTACTTGCTGCCACTGCAGCCCACCACATGGTCATCATGCCCGTTGCGCTGGCCCCATCACAAGCCCACCACACTGTCCCCATCCCATGCCCATCATGCTGCCCCAGCACTCCCCATCCCTCCCCTGGCGTCCCCCCTTCCTTATGCAAATGGCTACAAAGAGCACTTAATCATCCTTGTTAATTGTCTCTGCCCTCCCCTGTTCCCCCCTGGGGATTTTCTCACAAATGGTGTCTAACTTTTCCCTTCTGTGTTTTGCTTTTCCACCAGAGATCGCAGCCCCTCCACCCCCAGCCTCCCCTAACCCTCTGTTTACACAACTGGGACAAATTTCACACTCTGGGGACTGCTGTCCCCACACCCCTAGTCCCTTGCTGCCCTGCCCTGAAGAATTTGTGAGTCACCAGCCAGGG